CAGTCATATAAGCAATATCGATCCGCGAAAAGTAGAGCTATGCTTTCCTATCTTTTCTGCCAAAGTCTGCTGATAAGAAAATTTACTGCACTTGGATCTCTAAACAAGGATGGTAAAAAGATAAGAAAACTAATTGTAGACTCTGACTGACAACATTGGAATATTTGATCTTGCTGCGTCATGGCGCATGATACAGGCAACCCAGTGAACGCCTATAGGGCGTCTTGTTTATTTAAAGATGGACGACGATGGTATTTGCATATTTTCTTATTCTTTTTTTTAATTACAAGAATTACAAGAAACTGATTGCAGGATAACTGATTTGCATTTGAAATTAACCAGTCGAGAGGCAGAGAAACTGTTTCTGATGTTAAACTGCAGAATACTATCGTTTCATTTGCTTATTCATACAATTTTCTTTCCCTCATTCATTCTTTAATCATATCCTTTTTGTAATCACTACCAAATCCTGCAATCTGATTGGTTCAAAGGAGTGCGATTAATTCCCAAATCGCATCCTTAGGAGATTTTAATCGCATCCTAAWAAATAATTTTTTCAAACAATAAAATAAAACAAAATAAAACAAAAAAATCAACAACAAAAATTTTTTAGTTTTTTTTTGTTTGTTCGCATTTAGTTCTTCTACTACATTAAATTGATTATTCTGCACTCTTTATTGTGTCTTTTTCTTGTGTATGATTACAAAAAGGATATGATTAAGTGGTAATTGAACTTCGTGTCGTGCAATTTTGGTCTGAAATCAAACTTGCAATTACAATTGGCACTCCCGCTACGCGGTCGTGTGATTTTGTAATGGCGCGTTTGATTTCAGACCAAGTTGCAGTCCACTCAGTTTAATTACCATCATTATGTTTCCCTGCATACATACAAACAAAAACAAGACACCATTTGAAATCTTTTTATTTATAAATATCTTTAACAGATTCAGCATTTTAAATACTGTACATTAGTTCCTAGTTCTCCCGAGCATGCCACAGGGTAACCAAACCGAGATCAAAAGCTTTACCTCAAAATTATGTTTGCATTGCTTGTCAGTATGAAGTGACTTCGACCATCGAGAAACGCGAGCTACATCCGACTTTCGACTAATCTGTTATCATTTTTGCTGGGAAATATCCATTGAAACAAGCCATGTTTATTTAGTCCTTTTTTTTTTTTCCAAAAAGAGCAATCCATAGACTAATCTTTGAATTCTGATAATTCTGATTTATGATTACTCTATTTTTCCTATCAAACTGGAATTCGTAAACCATTATATTTGCCTAGAAGTTATACATCCCAATGTTTTAGGAATATCAAATCATGTGATGAGTCACGTGACTTGCTTTGTCACATGACTTCGAGTCACATGACGTTTGATCATAGTCATGTGACCTTTTAAAGAGCCATGACTTCGAAGAGTGGAATTGTCATGTGACTTTGTAGTCACGTGACTTCTGAGTTAAATGTGACTTAATTTACATATCTCTATAACGAGACGAACAAAACGCGAATAAAATTGAATGAAATAATTATAGAAATATTTACATCCTTTCATTGTCCACTCCATAATAACTAAAACTATAGACAGTTCAGCTTAGAGCTGCTTTTGTGTCACACACTTTTAGAATTTCGTTCAAACTATTAAAACTATATACTCACACCGCGAACTAAACATAACAAAATTTTTCGAATTGACGAGGGTGATTTTTCACTGAACGCAGCAGTAACAGTTTTTCCATAGCCCGTGGTGTTGAAGCGGTAAAGATATGGTCAGTGCATTCTGATCTATCTTCCTATACAAAGAATACGACTATGACAGAGTAAGCTTTTGTACCCAAGCTAGACCAGAATGCACGTTGTTTTGTACGGAGAAAGGGAGCATAGTTACTAGTGATAAGTTATGTTCCTGTCTTCAAACTATAATGATGTTACACTGTTACACGCAGCAATTTCTCCCACAACTTTTGTTGTAAAAACCTTTCTTCAAGATTGTCCTAACTAAATATATAGTGTGTGTATATTATATGCTCATAAAAATAGTTTTATCTTTTACGTTTTTGTAACAGAAAAAAGTGAAATAACCCTTTACGTTTTGCAACTTGTTACAAGTTTCTGCAAGAGACAAGTTGCAACAGAATTTGTGCATGTAACTAGTAGTGCAACCGGCATTATTTTCTGCACGAGTGTCAATAACAAAATCATTAAATGTAACTTGAAATTACTGCTGTGCTAATGCTGCGCTCAGTTCCTGCATGGGACTATGACGCTTCTAATCATCTGGATAGCTAATAAATTAATAATAAAATAATATCATTATATTCAGAAAATATATCATTTCTGGTAATCATACAGAATAATAGTCAAGCAAATGAAAAATCTTCAGGGAATTTTGCGCTCAGACAAAAATACATTGGTTGCATTAATCCAGGTTTTAGAGATCTTGTTTTGGACTTAAAGAGCAAGCCTTTTTTGAATTGACAAAATTTGGAATTCATTGCTAAATAAGCTGCAGCATTAAAAATATTTTTTGGATGCTTCTAAATGTACAATATAGCCATATTGATCTCATTGATYCAATATCCAACGTGATCCACGATCCCATTGATCCGATATATATATAATGATACGTAATATTTTCGATCTGATATCCATCATGATCCATGATTTCATTGATCCAATATCCATCATGATCCATGATTTCATTGATCCAATATCCATCACGATCCTTGATCTCATTGATCCATTATCCATCAAGATCCTTGATCTCATTGATCCAATATCCATCACGACCCATGATCTCATTGATCCAACGCCCATCAAGATCCATGATCTCATTGATCCAATATCCAAGATGATCCATAATATCATTGATCCATTATCCATCATGATCCTTGATCTCATTGATCCGATAGACCAACTTTGATCCATGATATGATTCTATAAGGTCTAACATGTTCTATTACAGCACTGAGCTCTGCGCCAGCCGAGCACCAGTAATGGCTAATCTATCCTCAGTCCCAGAGCCCTTATACGCTCTAGGTAGTGGTGGAGTTCTAACACTAGCAGGCATCGAAAATCTAGTCTCCTCAGGAATCGATTGGATCCCAAACACGGGCGACGAGTAACGGTTTGGCGGTGCATCGTTCCGTTGAGTATTGACATTGTCATAAACCGACGCTGGCCGATTATCGTAGACGGACAGCGGACGCTTTTCAGGGATTTTTGGGGATTCATTGTTACCATGACTACTGCCAGTTGAAGCTCGTCTTTGTAACGAATTCTTAGCTGCTGTATCGCTGTTACTATCAATGGTGGTATAAAACACGCTGGTCTCCGAAGTAACCTTCTTGAATGACGTCAAGATAGGACGCCGACGAATGTGTGAACCGCTACTTGCCGTTCGTTCTCGTGCGCCTTCTTTTTCATCAAACGTAATCGGCGCACTGCCTCGTTTTAGCGACGAACTCAACAGTGCACTAGCACCGCTAGTGAATGAGTGTCGGTTTGGTTTCGTTCTGGGTGCTCTAGGTGCTTCAGTCTTTGTTTCTTGTTCCCTTGGTAACGTACGCTGGGTTATACTAACCACCTCGGCGTGGCTGCTTCGTCTAGGAGGACGCACAGGTTCCCCACCTTGTTTGATGGTTCGTATGCGCGAGATTTCTGGATGCTTTGGAACTGCTACCATTTCTGATTTAGGAGGTGCCGAGTTTAGATTTTCCGCGCTGTAAGCTTGTCGTAGAGATTCTTTATCTTCAAACTGGTTGCTATCCCCCGAGTAGCTCACGGGGCTATCTAGTTCGCCATTTCGATCGATGCTGTCTTGACTCACAAAGAAGTATGTCCCTGTACCAGTCTCTTGGCTCTTTGTCATCATAGCCGCGTTAAAACTCTTACTTCGACCAAACATACTCTTAATACTCTTTAAGCTTCCACTAGCGGATCCGGAATTCTCGCTTTCCAGGCGAGGATGTGACTGATATGGTTCCCTAGGGGGTAGGGGTGGGGAATCTGGTTCTGTTTGTGGTTTTACGTTGAGAGTCTTTGGAGGTGGTGGACGGGCAGGTTTGGCGGGTACGCTGGTGGCTCGTGCCCGGGCTTCCTCCAATGAGATGAGTTTTGTTGCTGGGGACACGGAGATGCTTGCTAGACGAGGACCTAAGGTTCCTGGGACCATAGTATCTGGAAATTGAGAGATACACACATCGTTGTCGTTAGGTCAATACCATCATCACCATCGCCACCATAATCATTATTGTTATCATTATTTGTCATCAGTTAGAATCATCATTATCAGTAGCATCAACATCATCACCTTCACCATCAGCACCAACATCATCAGTTATATTAGTTATCATCAAAATAATCATCATCAGTAATCATCGCCATCATAACCATCAGTCATCATGACATAATCGACAGTTAATGTCATCATCATCACAACATAATCGAAAGTCAACATCATCATCCAACACTATGTAAAATCATTATATTTAGTTGGTGTTGGTTACCTGTGTCACTGTTTATTCCATGGTGAGGACCTCTCTCCTGCATTGAATTGTACTGAGGGTTTGTCACAATAGCAATAGAAGCAGCATTCACATCGAACAGTTCGTCAGTGTTTCGTATCAGAAACTCCACTAATATGGCTTGTACATTAATCTCCAGTAGAGCCGAGTTCCCGTAGTCTGGGTTACGTGGGCTCAGTAGGTTTGGTGCCCACACGATGGCCAGGTTTTTGGCGTGCATACCGGTCTGGGACGATTGCGAAGCAACACGCGATAGATGACGTAGGAGAAATTCCAACGTGCGGTAGTGAGGTGGAGGTAGTTGTTGTACCACGTGATGGATAGCTACTTTACGTTGGTTTTCGTCGGTGATGTGAATTGCACTCTACATGAAGAAAAGGCGGGAAAATGAATTATTTTCAAAATAAGTATATTATAGCGTCGGAATGTTTTACTACTTACCACGAATCTGTCGTACAGGTGATGGGTTAGTAATGGGTTCGGCAATTCTCTGTCGATCGTAAAAATAATGACAATGCAAATTAAACTACGATGGTCGATTATGACAGGTAGTTCAGTTCTAAGGGATGGTCGATTATGACAGGTCGTTTAGTTCTAAGGGATGGTCGATTATGACAGGTCGTT